CAAGGATAGCGACATCCGGTCCTTTTTCATGCCACTCCCTCAGTTTCTGTGTGCACACGTCAGCATTGGCTGCGTGTGCATTGAGACACTCATTCAGTTCTCGATAGTCTAATACTGGTCGCACTTTATTTTTGTTTTTCTGCACCACCGCCATCAACGGAATTAAACCTTTTGGAGGACCGAGTTCCTTTTCAGGATAAGGCTGCAACCAACCGTTATCAAGCCAGTTCTGCAGCTCATGGTCATATTCCTCCTTGACTCCCGTTGGTATTGGGTACTAAGGCATTCGATTTCTCAAACTCTCCAGTGATTGACCATCAGACCACTTCCATGATGCAACCAATATCTTCCGGTTTGGGTCAAATTCGGCACAGAAATCAGGTTCTTCTATTTTAATAGCGGTGTAACAGACTATCCCATGCTTGGGAAACCATACATTGCCACACTGTGTTATTTGGAGTTCGCCCAACTTTTTAATGGCGTCAAATCCAAGCACCAAGTCAAAACCCAGTAACTCTCCATCCACTACCAAGACATCAATTTTGAGGGGGTTTGCGTTGTCCACGTCAAGCTTAATACTTCCAACTCTGCAACATTTGAGAGTATTTCCGTTTACAGTGAGTACGTTCACCTCCGTCACCCGCCAGGATTGACAGGCTGACTTACTCATGAGTGTCTGTGAGCAGCCAGTGTCCACCAGTGCCACTCTCTTAATTCCATTCACATAAATACCCAAGATGGGTAGCGCTTCATTCATAACTCGCTGACGTCTTGTCCCCTTCTTTTCCCTGGACACAATAAAGCAATGAGGACTACTTCTTGACACTGGAAGCAACGCATTGTTGTGCGTGACTGATGGGCATCTTCTCGTCGAACCAGGCAGTCCCTCGTAAGGTGATTCCACCCAGAACATCGATAACATCGCATACTCTCCCAATGTTTAACATTTGGATGTTTATCAGCTCCGCCTGGTGAAATGGTAGCCGCAACCATTTCCTAAGTTGCAATTTGATCTTTCTTTATGGCCCATGCTCGGTCCAACAGTTGGTTTGTATTCATGTCTTCTATCCTGGAAGACGCACGCAGTAGTTGCTTGATGTGCGCTGGTAACTCTGCTATGAACCCACATGCTAATCCTTGCTCCAATATCACACCAAATAGACCAGCTAGCTACTTCAAGTTGGCTAGAAACACGTCAACGGACTTGTCCGGGTGAAGCCAGCATTCCGCGAATTGCTCGTAAGCCAAGAAACAATCCGGTGCAAAGGCAATCTGCAAGGCTCGTTTTATCTCCTCGACATCTGATTTTTGTTCCGAGTTTAACTGCTGGTAAACAGCAAATGCTCTGCCCGTCAACCTCAAAGGAAGAACATGTTCAACCTTTTTAGTTCCACACAGGTCACAAATAAGTTCTACCTTCTCAATCCATTCAGTAAATGCTTGTCCGGTCACTGAACTATCAAACTCGGGTATCAACTTGACGTCAAATGTCCTGTTTGTCATAGTGCCAAAATAGCTTGTAGCAATCTGGGATTACAAAGGAAATGTTTGTCGCAGATTATTTCCACATCACAGAGAATAAATCACTAAGTTCAGACTCGAACATCAAGGGGTAAAAAGAAATGCCGAAAACTTGATTCGCAGGTACTATCTCACGAATCACAATGCACGCAACCAGTCAGAAAAATAACTCATTCTCCAACAAACACGGTAGCCAAAATACCCGAATTTTGCTTCCCCAATTCAAGAACACCAACTGCTTTTATCGACTGAGCATTTTTTCCATTCATCGACAGCTGGGATAGGATGTTCAGTATTTTGCATATCAAAATAATTTTATAGCGACTCCTGCAACGGACTTGTTTTTTCATTCAAATATTCCATCTTCAGCATGTCATGCGGAATACATGCCCTTTTGTTTGGTAAGTAATTTTCTTTTTTGCCACATTTTCCATCATAGAATACATGCAACGCGCTGTCGCTTGGTTTAATGAGGTAAGTCACCGTTTCTTCACTATATTCTCACTTTCTTCCATTTCCTGCTCTGTTCCACTTTTGTGACTTTCTGTCTCCTTGTTCTTCCATTTCCACATCATCCAGTTCTTTCTGCTTCTGAATTGACCTGCATGTGCCAGTATATTTTGTCCTTTTTTCTCAAGTATAGCCATGTTGTGTCCTTTTTACATCAGGAAATTTGCTTCTTCTGGCAAGGTTAGGGTTTAATATATGCAACAGGGATATAACTGTAGCTCCACAAATACTGACAAAGGACATATTAAAAAGAGTACATGAGGACGTGCATTGTGGCATAACAGCAATGCAAAAAGACTAAAGTTACAAGCCTGATGGCCAGGGTATTCAAAAAATGTAGAGGAATACATTAAGAGATGCCCAAAATGTGCAGAAATAAAAAAAACTTCAAGCAAGCAAAAATTCACTCATGACCCAAGGAAGCAGAGCCATAGGTTAGGGTCCACATGGATCACGCGCATATCAAAGATAGGGGATTGTTCTTAGTATTAGCGGACTCATATTCAGGATGGCTGGAGGTTGTCAGAGTAAATGACAGAGAAGCTACCACAATAAAGCAAGTACTAAGAACTATATTCTCAAGGAATGGAGTACCCCAGACATTAGTCACCAACAATGCACCAAAATTTTGCGATGAGAACTTATGTGTGTGGTTAAAACAGATTGGATACATCCTATACAAGACACAACCATATCACCCACTATCTAATGGTATTGTGGAAAGAATGGTACAAATGTTAAAAATGGGATTAAAAGCATTCTCACCACTTAATGAAGGCATAGAAGCATATTTACCAAAAATACTCCTCGGTTACAGATCCATTCCACATGCAAGAAGAAAACTGAGCCCTTCCGCATTAATGAGATGACAAATCAGAGTCCCTTTAGCTATGTCCTTTTCAGCAAAAGAAATATATCGTCCTGGTATATTATTATATTTTTTACTTTCCTTAATTAGACTTTTTCAATTGCTTTTTGAAAAATATGGCTCGAAGTCTTTACCCCAAACGGTAGACAAGTCCATCTTAGTAAGTCTATAAGAGTGTTTATCATAGTGATTTCCTTAAATTCCTCATCAATTTCTATTTGGTTGTATGCTGGCTTGAGATCAATTTTTGTAGTATTCTAGTTTTGCTAAATTGTGGCTCGCATTTTCAATATTTGTCAAAGGAAAAAGAGTCTGAACATATCTAGTGATTCACCCCTATCTTGTAATCACCACAAATCCCTAAATCTCCATCAGGTTTCTTTATCACTACTATTGGTGACACCCAATTGCTATCACCTTGAGTTACTCTTTCTAGTGTGACTTGTTGTATCATTTTGTTTAATTTGTCTACATCAAAGGCAGGATATGAATTGGAACTTTTCTTGACTATATATTTTAGGTGATAATTTTCTTTTAGTCGAATGCTTGCTTTATAGCCTTTCAATAATCTAATTTCATTTTCTTCTGCTTCCATAGAATTGATTTGTCTTGCTGTATCTACTTTTAATACATAAATTCCTAGTAATCCATGATCTTTTTCACATTCTACAGCTGTAATGGGAATTACTTCAAAATGCTTATCAGTTTCAAAAATGTACCCATTATTTTTATAGTCATTCCATCAAATTGCTTTAATTGGATGTTGCTTTTTTTTTTTTAAATTTAGATCATCCTAATTTTATCCAGAAATTTTTTGGTATCAACGTGACTTCACTGCCTTTATCAAGTTGCAGGTTAAATATTTGGCCATTTATCTCTATTTTTTCTCTACTTCTTTTCTACATATTCATTAATAAATATTTCTGCTGCTTCTTCGGGGAGGGTTTCTACCTTTTGTACTCTTTCTATTTTCTTTTTGTATTTGCATACATTCTGAAAATGATCTCTTTTTTTGCAATTTGAGTACATTTTTCCTAGAGCTGGACATTTGTACTTCTCTCTCTCGTGATTTTTTCTACAATATCTACATTTAATGATGGATTTGGTCATGCTTGTCCTGTACTTTGAGTTGATTAAATTCTCTAATCAACTCTAGTTGTTGTAAAACTCAACAATAGCTTCCAAACTCATGCTACTACTCTGTAGATATTCCAGTATTTTTCATTTGTGGTTTTGGTCTTGCAAGCCTTCAATTATTCTGAGAAGGATTAATTTGTTTTCTATGGTCATTTCCCAAACTCTTAATTTTTCAAATTCACAATACTTGGCTTGTTCTTTCAGTCTATCTAATTATTGTATAATGACTCATTGGGTACTTGTCTTGTCTCCAAAAACTTGGTTCTTTCAGCAATAACCTATCTTTTCTTTGGTCGTATGTCCTTTTATATAATTTTAACAATTTCTTCAAATGTCATTTCTTCTAATTCGCTTGGGTAACACATTGTTGAAATATTCTTCACAGCAGTAGCAAGAAATAAATCTGTTATCTTGTTCTCTCCTCCGTCGGTCTTTGTGTCTCCTAATTATTTCATTCTTGCAAATGCAAGAAAAGGTTTTATCTCTGTTTCTATGTGTTCTGAATCATCCAGTGAATTTAACGATCCTATCGGCAACTCCATTGTTTTATTTGTTATATCTCTGTGTAGTAGCAGTTGTAGCACAGTTCTTCGCATTACATTTAGCAAATGGGTTTCCTAATCAATGCCCTTATGTTCACCAGTTGTTCTCTATTTATACTTGTCTATTTCATTTGCATACGGTACTACACATCTAATAGATCATCATTAATACAGTGAATGAAATCTTCACTCAATGCTCTACTCCCATGCTCTGGGATTAAACTTAGTAAATAGCGAACATAAATGAGTTTCAATTCAGTATCAATCTATTCTTGTGACCTTGTACCAGACTAAGCTAAGCCCAATAAATATCAGTAAGTCAAGGTGACATATTTTATACAAAATCTTTCTGAAACACGATAATCTTTCCAATATGGTTTTGAATACAAAAAGGAAGATAAAAAGTGATAGGCAACTCTTACTGTGTTCAATGCAACATGTGCTCCTCTACCTTGTGCAATGTCAGATAACATCTGAACCGCCAAACGGTTACCACTCGTCCCAAGCATCACTTTGCTATTTCCTGTCATCAGAGCAACAGCAATGAGCAATTCAGTTCTAGAGGCAGAAAAAAAGTAATTTCATTTTTGGAGATGGACAAAAAATTTGTTCAAATATAATAGTTAAATTTGTCAAGACAATCATCATTATTAAGAAGAGAAAAAAACTTATATAAAATTCTTTTATTCCAAGAAATATAAAGCAAAAGAATTCTAGTAATTTGGAATCAAGCTCTTCCTTACTTTTAAACATTTTGCTATTCAGAAAGTTTTCTGATTAACTGCTAACCAATTGCTAAACCAACTGAACAAGAAGTTAGTTGTAAAATGCAACCAGTGCAGCTCATGAACAAAGCTGACTTGAAATAACATTAAAAAAAATTATCAACACTAACTGGACTTAGTGAAATGAGCAACAACTCGATAACAGCCTAAAAATTAAAGATAATGATGCTTCAGTTCAAGGCCAAGAATATCATTCATTGTAGGATTAGTAAAAATTTCATGTATCATCACTTAATACTACATTATTTTGTATAAACTTATTTCACAATTATTAAAATAAAATATGAAACAGATTAAGTTTAGTTGTATAACAAGATGGAGAAAAAATCATGCTTATTAAATGGTGATACTTTTTCTATACAATGCAAAAAATTGGAGAGCATTATTGTAAAATACTAGGTTAAAATAACAAAATACATTAAGATCCATAATTCACCGCTTGTTTCCACATTAATCTACATCAATTGAAATCTATCTAAGCAAATGCAACAAAGCATTTACACAATTTACAAATTTTCTTTTCTCATTTTAAATCAATAAATTTTAATTTATATGCAAATTTTGTTGTAAACATGTATGTTTCAAAATACCTTAAATGATGAACAAGCCTTTCCTTGAAAGTCAAATTTTTACATGTGTCCAAAAGTTTCAGCAATTTTTCTTCTAAGTCCTGGTTCTGAGGTACACATTGGCAGCAATTCTTCATTACTGTTGGTACTGCAGACAAATCTTTCCCTTTTGAATGTGGGATTAATTTGAAAACCTAAAATTAAAATCGAGTTGGTATTTAATGAGTTTCAAAAGAAAAGATGTGTAAGTGAGAGAGAGAGAGAATGGAGAATTTGATGGTATAGTAAATATATGAGACAATTTGGAAAATATTTTCCCATGACAGATTTTGCTGATGGTCCAGCATCATCAGAAAAATAATTTTATTTCACAAGAACAAAAATCAATATTAACAAGACAAAATGTAATTCACATTATTTTTTACTTTCATTTTTAAATTTCAACTAATTTCAATTCAATTTTTAATAGTTTAAGTATGCCACATAGTTCCAGTAGTAATTCAGTAAGAAAAAAAGGGGTATTGAATTAGCCTAGTTGTATTATAATTGTAAGAGGCTCATGGACCATGTTACTTTCAATGCTCTTATATGCCAACAAAAACAGTATAATCACAATTTTTACATGAAAAACATTGTGTAGTGAATAATCAATGTCACAGTCATATCATGTTGAAACACCAATTCTAGTTCAATCACCAATGTTAAATACTGAACATGGTCCATACTCAGATGGGTGACTGCTGGAAAATACCAGGTGCTGAAAGCTGCGCAACAAACATAGCAAGTTGATGTGGTGCTTCTGGACTGACAAGTCACAAGACCTAACTGGAGTTGAGAAAGTGAATATATACATACATGACATAGTACAGGTAATGTAGCTTAAGCAGCAACCAGATGTGAAAACTTTAAAATAACAAAATTTGTTCTCTGCACATAAGACCAATGCACATCTTCCAGAAAGAATAAATAAAAATTTCAAATAAATACAATCTCAATTTCTAACCAATCAGAAGTTTCCTTGCTTCTTTTCGGTAGGCTTGAAAAATCAGTAGGTGTGCTCCATATTGGACATATATAAACAATACATATTTTTTATTCCAACTACCAGTGATCGTTAGAATCTGCTTCACAAACCAAAGCCAACATGAATCTCATTTCACAAAATACTGGTGATCATGATAACCAGGGAAGTTGTCAGAGCATGTCGAATAGTACAGGCATTATGTAAGTGGGCATTATACTGATGGAACAGCACATCACTTTCTTGTTGCAGGAATAACAATCTAACAGGTTGAACAATGTTCTGTCATAGATGAAGCTGTTCAATATTCCTCCACAAATACCAAAAGTGAGAGAGAATTTTAATTTATGGCACCCTACACTATGATATCAAAGGTTAAGCCTGAGTGTCATGGGTAAATAAACTCTGAAGTGTTACTCTCCAGATCTACATTACATGAGCTAACAAACATCACTTGCATGATGGTAAATTTGTTCTCATCACTAAACACTACAGAGAATCATTTGATCTCTCACAACAACATCTAAGAGAAATGAGCACACATGCAAGTAAGGGAGATTTTATCTGTGACTATAGGATTTTTATTATCATCATTGTTGCTGTTATTATCATTACTATTATTATTTGTTGATTCAAGTTCTTCATACATATTTAATTGGTGAAGGTTCCTCTCAATCCTTGGCAGATTCTTGTATTTACACAAAGAACACTTCTAACACGATATTGATTGTTTGGCTTGATGATATACTAATTGGTGCTAGTTGCAATTCCATATTAAATAATGTTAAAACACATTTAAGTGAAGAGTTCAGAATGATCGATCTTGGAAAGCTTTCTTTCTTTATTTCTTGGAATGCAGTTTAAGTTTAAAAACAATTGTATCAAAATGAATCAAACAAAATATATTGAAAAGACTCTAACCAAATTTAAAAAGCGAGATTGTAAACCTATCTCAACATCTTGTGTAATCAATATTAACCTAATGGATGAGAGCAATGACAGAAAATACTACTAAGAGATAGTGGGCAGTCTTATAATCGTTATGACTGCCATTCATCTTGATATTAGTTACATGGTAACAAAACTGTCACAATGGATCACTTGATAAGAGCCAAACAAGTCTTGTGCTATTTGAAAGAGACCAAAACATACTGTTTAGTGTTTAATAAGTCAAATAAGCCCCTAACTTTAAGAGGTTTTTGTGATGCTGATCGGGGAAATTTAAAAGGTCACTGTAGCACTACATGATATGGTTTCCAATTAGCACCAAACAGTTCAATGATTTCATAGAAAACAAGAAAGCAACCTACAGTTACATTATTAACCTGCAAAGTAGAGTACACAGCATTGGCGACTGCCATACAAGAAGCAAAATTCCTTATTCAATTATTAGCCACCATAATTAATGCAACTAAAGACCAAGTTACAATCTGTTGTGATAATCAAGGTACTATTGCATTAGCTAGGAACCCAGTCTACCAACAACGTTCAAAGCACATAGACATAAAGTATCACTTCATAAGGACTGAAATTCAAAAAGGTACAATAAAATTGGACTATATTCCAGTAGAAGAAAATGTTGCCGATTTGTTTACTAAACCTATTGGCAGAACAAAATTAAACAAATTTCTTATTGCTCTAAATGAAGTACTATACTGAACATTTTTTTTGGCATTTTAATTGCCACAATTGTTTATTTTTTTTAATTCCCTTTTTTCTCTTTATTTGTAAAAAGAATAAATTTTTTTTTAAATTATTAATGGAAGATTAAAAAAATTTTAAAAACAAAATTCTTTTTATGATGTATGCAAATTATGCATATGTATTTGTAAATGTTTTGCATCTATTTTATTTATATTTATTGGCCTCATAGAAAGGGGTGGGGTTAATATGAGTGCACTCATCCATTTAGATTGAAAGTGAAGGGTGTTGATTTCCCCAAATGGAATGATTGCAAAAGCTCCCCCCCCCTTATAGTTAGAAGGACACAGAATGCATGCTGGGATATTTTTCTTTTCTGGTTACCTCTCTTCTTCCTGCCCAGAGTAGAAGGTCTCTGGAAGTCAGGCCCCAGTCGACCAAACTCCCCCTCTGTCCGTGTCTTTGAATACCACCTCACCTGTAATGGGCATGCCAGCTTCTGGGACTGGAGTGGAGAAACCCCCGGTTGGGTCATCATCTAAACCCTCATTCCCTGAAGAGTGTTCACCTGCTGTAAGTGCAGTTGTAGAGAAGGGAGAGGGGGAATGGCAGGTTGCTGGCAAAGGCAGAAGGAAGCGCCAGACAGCGGGTCCTCACTGACAGTCCCACTCCTTCTGTCAACATTAAGGGTGATGCCCTGGCCTCTAAACCTACCCTCAGAGAGTTACAGAAGAAATATGACCCAGCCTTTGAAAAAACAGAAGATCAAACAATGGAAAGAGAAATTGGATAAACAAAAGACCTCTCCAACTAAAAAGGCCACACTCTCTACCTCCTCTACCCCTCTCTGTAGGGACCTCAGTCATAAAAAGACCTCCACTGTTAAAAAAGTCACTCCCTCCACATCTTCTGCCCAACTTTCACCAGAAAAATCTTCTGCCCGTCTCTCAACCCCTCTCAGTACAGACTGCAGGCCTTGCAAACAATCCTATACACCTCACTACACTCCCAGTCCTTCCCCCATTAAAACTCCCGAAATGCCCCCTCCTTTCAACAAAAGACAAAGAAGTCCGTCACAGGACTCAAAAGACAAAAGAAAAAAAGATGCCTAAACATATATACAACAGGTGAAGATGTATGCTGCATTACCCCAGCACAAGTGGAAAAGGCCCAGGATTATGGAAATAGGATCAAGGACTTGAAATATCTCCTCTCTGTCAAGCAATATGCTGACAGAGACATCAAAAATCCTAAGCATTTCCCACAGGCCGATAGAGTATTAACAGTAATTAGAACTGGGACAGGGGCTCGCCAAGCATGGGCCATGCTTGATGAGGCAATAGCCTCTTTTAAGATGTCCCCACTGATAGCTATTGTTCCAAACGATAAATTAAAAAAAATGAAACAATTTTGTACTGGGAGTGTCCCTGTTTTTGTTCACCCCTCCCTCTATAGAGCACTAAAATTGACCTTTCCATGGGATATAGGCAGTCCCTCCCAAGATGGCACCATCAAGACTGAGATGGGCCATGGGTCAATGGTGGAGGCTGTCAGTATCCTGCCCCCATCCATGTTTAATTCAGGTAAGCAACCCTAATCGGTTTGATAGTGTCTGTGGTTAGCTAGTTTGAATGTCCGAGGCCTGAGGTCAGAGTCTCACAGGGCGAGGCTCTATCGTGACCTTCAGCATCTCAGGGTGGATGTATGTTGTGTGCAAGAGACCTATCTTTCTTCTCGTGATCATGAGAGCATTCTGTCTAGGGGGTTTTCCCTCTATTCAGCATGTTTTGATGGACACTCGAAAGGTGTCTCTTGGCTGGTGAGCAAGTCTTTGAAGGCTGTGTATGCTCTAGTCTTTGCAGATCCGGCGGGCAGACTTTGCATGCTGGATGTTTACCATAAAGGATAAGGCTCTATGTCTCATTGGGGTTTATGTGCCCAATAAGCATTTTGAGCGGCCTGCTTTGTTTCGGCAGATCAAGCCGTTCTTGGCGTCATCTCTTCGGGTAGTCATCCTTGACCCCAATATAGATCGTTTAGGGTCAAATTCGGGTTCTAACAACCCGGACACGAAACCGTTTTGGGACTTTATCGACAGGTTCGATCTTGTCAATAAGTACTGAAATAAACACCCTCAGGGGGTAGTGTGGTGTTGGTAGTGGCGGCTTAGTTACTGAGGTGCATTCTAGCTACCTCGACCAAGTCTTAGTCAGGAGAATCGATCTAGGGCTCTTAGGTTGTCCAAGTTTCCATTATATAGTTTATTCGGATCATAGTTCGGGTCAGTGTAAACTTAGATAAGCCTAAGGTTAAGATGGCTGGTTACTGGAAATTGAACTATTCATTATTTGAGGAGCAAGATTTCTGGGACCAGCTGCTACTAATGATACAGAGGGAACTAATGGAGGCTTTGGTGGGATAAACTTAAATCTAAAATTAGAACATTTGCTGCTGATTATAGTCATCAACTCAATTTAGATTGATTAGCAAACGGTTTGTGAGCAAAAGGTTGATCGGGCGATTAAATCCTGT